AAAAAGTTATCCAAAATACTAAAAAGATTTTCCCACAAACAACGGCTCGTACGTTGGATGCACTCATTTTTACAGTGTGTGTGTGTGTGCGCGCGCGCTTGCTTGTAGGGTTAGTTGAGTTAGTATACAATGAACGAGTCCAGGCTCTTTAGGCCAATCAGAGGAGATTATTTAGTTAATTAATGGTCGTCGATTGCATGAGATGCGTGCGTAGAGTAAAATCAACCACTCAAGTAGCAATCAACGATAAGGGAGTGCACCAACCAAGGACACAATTTCTCCACGTGGCGCATAGAGTAAAGGTCAGCGGGGCAATGACTATGTAAAGACATGTTCAGATTAAAAGTTGTAAACAACTAAAGTTAGAATGAATTGATGTTTACAAGTTGAAGTTAGAATAAAAATCAATTCTATATATAATTGAAGCCAGAAACTCATATTTTCAGTGTCTTTGTAAATAAATTAACTATTTTTTATCCAAACATCATGTTCAAGCTCTCAAAATTCAGATTGATATTTGGAGCACTCAAGCTTTAGTTTAGATCTCATCCTGAATCTCCCCTCCCAATTGTTCGGCATCCTTAGAAATGCTTTTGTGCATTAGCAGGGACAGATCTATAGTTTAATGGTTGGAAGGCCAAAATCCATCACTAACTGTTGAGAGTGTGTACTACATAAATGTGTGTGTGTGTGTGTGTGTGTGAGTGCAGTTAACATTTGTTTTTTATCACAAAAATTTGAGACATTGGATTTATGTCTATTAGTGGACTTGTTGGAGCTACAGTTATAAATGGGCTAATCCACTTTGTTTGGCAAGAGAGCTACAGTCTTTGTCTTCCGCTGTTCTAATTTTTGTTACTGTTTTTTTTTTTTTTTTTGGGGGTAAGTCACAGGTTTCTTCTTGTCGATACTAAATATGCACGTCTCTTCTATTATTCGGTACTGTTTTGATAGTGTGGTTTTATATCAACCTGAACAAGGTTAGCTCAGCAGCATGGATGCATCGACAGGCTTATGCAATCGGAGGTAGGCCCAAACTTTCGGCCCAATTCCATGCCCATTGTCGCGACCAGATTAAGATGGCTTGGCTTATTGGACCCCTCTGCATAGCAATTAAGTTATATGACAAAAATGAGGGAACATTTACATGGGAGAGAAGGTGGAGAAAAAATTGGGCTAATTTATTCAACCGATCAAGTGTAACTGCAATAAGAAGCCGTATCCCTTTGGCCATTTAAATAGTTCTTAAAAGTAAAAATATTAAAAATAATAATTTGAATCCTAACTACATTCTTAAAAAATAAATGAAAATAACAGATAATTGAGATGTAGCTTAGCATCTATACATTCCAATTTATTGAAAATAAATAAAATCTAAAAAAAATTTAAAAAATGGTGATAAAATTTTAATTAAATATTAATCCTAAATTCTGAAATACTCTAAGGCGGAGTTTGAACATTTAATTGATCGATTTATATTTGACTTTTGGATTTAGAATCTCATATTTAAAATTTTTTGATTGAATAATATAAAAAATGTCAATTACAAGAGAATGAGATGTTTAGAATAGCTAGCATTTCAAATAAAAGGAATTTGGAATTACAGAAAAATGATTATAAAATATGGATCAAATTCAAATTTATATGTTTTCATGGATTCAAATAGTAAATTGGATCAAATCCAATTTCTCCTATATGTAAACGTAAAATAAAATATATTTAAAATATGCTTACTCAGATGTAGTAACTTTTTTACCGACAAATGAAATAACAAAAGACAGATGATCCTAAAATAATCATAAATATCCAAAAATAACCCTGATTATATATATTCAATCCATAATATAATAGAAAGATCCTAGTCATTCAATTTCATGTTATGGTACGGTGGGTATAGCTTTTCTTCCTTGACGCAAATATTCTCTTATATCAATGTCTCCGCAACACTTAATGGTTATCTCTACAGTCACTAGATGTTAAAAGTATTGAGGTAAACCGTTCTTTCGTAACAGAAGTTGAGTTGGGTGGTTTGGTTGGTCTTTGGGAGAGCATGGAATTCTTAGAATTAATTGTTGGCTGTTGAAAATCTTGAATGATGCTAATTCACTTGGGAAAGAAAAAGCATTGGTGGCTTGCTTACTTTGACAGATCTGGAAGGCACGTTGTACTTATGTTTTTGAGAAAAGATGCCATGACTTTATGAGTATAATTCAGACTACTTCTGACTCTCTAGATTCATTCAAGCATGCAAATGGATAATAGGACCGGTTTGGATCCTAAAAGCTTTGACAATAGAGCCCTGGAAGCTTCGAATGAGTGGCATTGTGTGTGGGAGGGATTGGTTTTAAATACTGATGGTACTTTTAATAAGGACAGAAACAAGGCTAGTATTCGATTTATTGTTAGAAATTCTTGTGAGGAATGTTTATCAAGGTTGTTAAACTCATAAATTTAAATAAATTTGTGATAGAAATATAAACTTATATCGTAAATTCAAATTGTAAACTCGTAAAAATTTATCTTTATTAACAAATAGCTATTAAAATATAACTGTAATTTAATTTAAATATATTAAAAATATAAATAATTGAAATGAAATTCATCTACATTGATAAATTATCATATAAAAGACATAAAAATTTTAAAACAGGGGAACTTATTTTTGATATTTCTGTTTTTCATTAATATTAGTTTTTACATTTCAACTTTTTTTTCCTTTGAACCAGGTCCTATAATTTTTATGAATTGAATTCTCCATAGTATATTTTTAATTCACTCAACTCAAAAAAAAAAAATTGATGAGCTTAACAAGTTTAATTAAACTTGCATCTAGTTCGAGTTTATGAATTAATTAACACGATTTTATAAGTTAGAAACGTAAAAATAATAAACTCAAAGGTAAATTCATAAATTTAATCGAGTTTGTATCTAATTCGAGTTTATGAGTGAGTTGACACAGTTTTATAAATTGAAAGTATAAAAAAATATTAAACTTATAAAATCAACTCGAAAACTTAACAACTATGCATTTATATATCATAGGGACTCGGTCATTTTCTAGCTTGTCTTTCAAGTATAAGGTTTTAGCTTCACTTTCTAGTTTGAAATGGGGTTGTGAGGCTGGACTTGATGAGGCTATGGTGTTTTCTGACTATCTTTCAGCAATTCAGACGATTAAAGGTGAAGCTGCTTGTCTTGAATAGGAGTGTTTTACATTCAATAACATTTATATAAGAAAAGTGCTTTATCACTTTCAAAAAATGAGACATTATTCAGGAATCAATTATTATTATTTAAATTAACTTTTACAAAAGCACATTCGAATAAGGTTGAAAGTGAATTTGGCCAACTAAAAAAATTTAAAACTTTTAGAATTAAAAGTTGAATGTTATATATTTAATGGAGAGAATAAATATGTACTTAATTTTTATATGATCAAGTTACCCTTATTTTCCAGCATCTTCCCTCTCTCTCTCCTCTCACGTTCTTTATTATTTCCCTCTATCCTTACTTTATCATACCTGACAACGAAGTACTGTTCATATATGAGTTCAAGATTTTGGCCAATAGGAATGGATGCTTTCCACCAGACAAAACAAAAACAAAAACAAAAAGAACAGGCACAGATGATAGAAAAAAAATTTTAAAAATTAAAATATAATTAAATTCTATACATTTTTAAATGTGTGTGTGTGTATGGTAGATTATACATTATAAAGTGGACAATTATTCTGGCTAATTTTTAATATTAAACTATATCAAACTATTTATATAATTTTTATTCAATATTTCAAACTTTATAGTTTTTATTTTTATTATTTAAAAATTTATTTTATTTAAATTTTTATTACATATATTTTTTGAACATTTTAATATAAAATATTTATATGACAAAAATTACAAATTATAAAAACTAATGCACATTTAAAAATTCTTTGTAACATATATATGTGTGTAATTCAAACAATTTTTAGTTTATTAAATTAATTTTTAAAAAATATATTTAAATACAAATTTTATTATCACAATCAATCGACTTTAATAAATTTTTAACAAACTTATTCTGACTTCCAGAAAATCAAACGAGCCCTCATAGGCAACTTTAATCAACTTTTACCTAAACCTCGGTTCACAAGTTCTAATGTGCGGAAATTTTGGTTTTATAAACTCTTATTCATCAACCGAAAATATTTCTAGTGATCAGCCAAATCAATGCCTGTGAACCACTATTGTCAAACTCACGAGTCAACTCAATTGACTCGGTGAGTTCACGCTATCGCCCCAGCAAATCTGATCGACTTGCTTGTAGACTCGGTTTTCATCAAAACTTTGCTTGCCAGTTTGAATTAAAACAAATATAAGCAAATTTTTAACATAATATAAAGCTATTGAAATAGAGTTATTTTTATTAAAATTAAACTGTAAATGAAAATTTAAAAGAATAGTATGAAATATAGTTTGGCAACAATAATTGCAATATACTCCATCCGATTTCATTTATAAGAAATATTTTAAAATGTTTATGTGATCGTAACGTTGTGACTTTTTAAATAATATTTAAAAAATATTTTTAAAATTATTTAGAACTCTGCACACTTTTATTTTTTATATTATTTTTGTATTAATATTAATGATATTAATAGAAATAACTTATAAGGAGGATCAGGAGAGTATAATATAATGATTTAAATTGTGCTTAAATAAATTTTTGTTATATATATATATTACTTTAATTATATGATTATATATTTTAATAGTTATTTACGCTATAAGTAAGCTTACTATTTTATAATATGAGTTCACATTATGAGTTTACATACAGACTTTTAAATTTATTTAAATTTATAAGTTTGACAATTTTGCTGTGATCGTCTCAGACCAGACATAATCGGGTTCGAACTTCGAACCTTTTCATCTTCTCGCCCGTTTCGTTTTGTCTTTTTCATGTAAAGCAGGGCCTCCTGCAGCAAAGAGGGTGACGTGGCCACTTCTAATTACTATTATTTTCCGCTTAATTAGTTGATTTTTTTCCTTAATCGCATATTCCAATCTGTACACTGGATCTTATATTATTATGAACGAGGACAAGAAATTTAAGATGCGTCGGCAAAATTCTCGGAGTCTCCTCACAAAACCTCAACTACACTTCGGTGCAGGCCCGGAATGTTCTCCAGTAAATCACAGGTGAGCATTGAAGTCTTGGGTTTCGGTGGCCGGACAACATGGTCACCGGCCACCGACAGGGCCACCGCCGATGACCTGTCGAAGGTTCCGACCAGCCACTTTGCTTCCATGTACTTGTGCTTTCTCCATGGAGCCAAGTGCATTCTCTTCTCCTTCATGCATTTTTTAGCGGCCGAGCACAAAATCTTAATCAACACTCTTAATCTCTCCACCTTTCCCACAAATACTTCTGGTAATCGGCTTATTAATCTGTTGTAATCTTCGCTCGCACGTGCCATCTCAAATTCAGCTCGAAAATTTAACTCTATCACCACTCTTATTACTTCTCCACTTTTACTTCTCGATTTTTCTGTCACTTCCAGATAGGTGTGCTCCCCTGGAGTAATTATCCCAAAAGCATTTCAATATTTCATTATTAATTTTTCTTTGCAAACTTCTTCGTGTATTTTTTTTTTTTTTTTTAGTTTGGATCATGGATAATACTGTACCTGATGGGATCTCTGAAGAGCTCTTCCATTTAGATTGACAAACGGCGCAATTAAAACCCTGGTTCTGAAGGCGACTGCATATTTCTCTCCGGAGGCAACTTCGGCAGCCGTACGCCATCGCCGGCCGCCGGCAAGCGCATTGCATTTGCATACCTGATGATTCGTTTAATTCTTCCAGAGCCTCCTTCGTTACTTGCCGGATTTTAGACTCTGTCGAGGTTGTTCTGCATAAAGTAGCCTGAGATGAGGATAAAAAGGAAGGGAATTAACTTTCTCGGCTACGAGATAAGAGATTCGTGAACATGAATTGTGTGGAAAAGTTCATCAAATTTGATCGCTTGTGTGTGAAATATTGGAATTTAAAGCAGTACCTTGAGGAGCTGGTCTTGTTCATCCCAGAAAGGTTTGCTCTGTTGTAGGGTGCTAAAATTCTCGTCCTCTTCTTCTTCGCCCAGGGAGACGCCGGAGTTTGATGAATTCTCCGATGAGGACTTGAGGTCCTCCCAAAACGCAAAAACTGTATCCGAAAAACTCATAGCTAAGTCGTCGTTGTTGTACATCTCATCGGAAATCCGTCGAGTGGCCGGAAACCTCTCCGATTTTCTGTACATCGCGGCTGTCTCGTCTGAACTTTGGAATCTGTTGTGCCGCTCATGTGGATATGTCTGCGGTTTATATACAAAAGAACCAATGGCCTACTGGCCCCACGTGGGACCCGCATTCCGACCTGCTAGCCCCGGACGCTGCGAACATTGTAAGTTCTTGGGTTGGTTACTTGATTTATTTAATCACGAATTGAGATGGTGTCCGTACTTGATAATTATCCTCTATTTTAAATTTTATATAGAATAAAATAAAATAAAATAAAATAAAATAATGACAAAAATATCTCATCAAAATAAATAAATAATAGATAAATGCTGTGAAATGCGAAAATTATTTTAAACATCTGTAAAGACTTCTTTGACATCAAGCTTTTGTAAAATTACATTTCTAACCCTAAACAAAATAATAAAGACACAATTATTAATATACAAAATAAAGTTGTTAATTTAGAAAACAGTTCTTAGTTTAGTTATGCAAAATAGAGAATATATTTTTTATACTAACAACTTTAGCTTATTGATTAATAACATTAATTTAAACATTAACAACATATTTAGTCATAACTTCAATTAATTTAGTAATACAGTAACAACTAAGTTTTTTATATTAACAACTTTATCTTTATTATTAATAACTCTAATTGAGGTTTTAACAACTATACTTTCTGTTATTTTATAGAGGATCAGAGATGTAATTGCTACAAAAAATTACAATATGTCATTAAAGATATAAGAGCAATTATATCATTTCATAATACTATCTTGCCATTTATCTATTTCGAGCGGGTTTATCTTCCATTTTTCAATAAACTATCATCGACAGTATAAAAATAAAACAACATTAAATTTGAATCACAATACATAACACTGGTCATAATTCATTCTAATAGCTCTGCCAGAAAAGTAGAAAAGTATACACATACCCAACTTGTATTTTTTTTTTTTTACCAAGCAATGGCAATTGTTTTCCCATTGATTTACTTCTTAAGAAATTAAACTCTCTTGCTTTCCATAAATACAAAGCGACTCTGTATTATTATAAGCATGTGGAAAAATTAAAATGGGGGGTCCTGTGCTCTAGTCGCGAATAATTCTCTGAATTTTCAATACTGGCGGAGGATTTGGAGTTTTCAATTTCTAGAAAACTAAAAATGAAAAAAAAATTATGTTATTCTTAGCAGGAGAGAAAAGTGAGAAAAAAAATAGCATGTGGAACTCACATTTTTTACTCCAATTTTTCTCCTCAAATATGGAAAGATTTTGGAGAAATAAATTTATTTCTAAATTTATTCATTAATTTTTTTATTGCCACCTCCTGCTTTCCTCTATTTTTATTATAATATTTATATTGTAGTTACATTTTGATTATGTATTTTTGTTAAACAAGAAGTATATTTAATTTTTAGACTAATTAAATAAATGTTAATTCTAAATTTTTAAGTTAATTTTTAATTAAATAACTTATATTTATTAAATTATTATATATTTAAAAATTTAATAAATAAAATGTTATATTGAATACAATAATTTTTGTCAGTATTAAATAAATTTATTTTTAATTATACCTTTATTAAATCAATAATATATGATAAAATTTATTTTATTAATGTGTTAAAATATTAAATTTTATTATATAAATATTTTTATAAATAATATAGTTATTATTGTCCATATAAAATTAATAAAATTTTTTATTTTTTACTCAGCCAAACACAATGAAAAAAATTATATTCCTTAAGGTATTTTTAATCGAATATCACCTTTTAATAAAGTAATTATATACTTTCAAACTAATTCTATTTACCTCTATCAAATATCATATAATAAATATAAAATTATTTATTAATAAGGGTACTTTTAAAAAAGTAATAATTATGCTTTAAAAAATTAAAAATATTTTATATTGTTAAATATTTAACTTTTTAGAAAATGTCTTATATTTTTTAATTGAGAGAGTATATTTTTAATTTATTTCCTTTTTTTTCATTTTTTATTATTATTTTTTTTTTTTTTTTTCCTGCAAGCTAAGCACAACATTGATTATGTTAGGGGAAGGTTGATGAAAAATCGATTTTTTCACATGTGAGATGTACGCTCTTTAATCTAATGTAATCATTAGAGAGAGAGAGAGAGAGAGTAATTACAGGGAAGAACGTCTAGGAAGAAGCACTAGAGGATCTTAGCCGAGGTTTCGCCCTTTGTCATGATTGGCTCACGTGTCATGAGATCAGTGGCGGTTGGTAATCAGGTGGACTTACCTGTCTCGTTTGGTGGAATCAATAGCCAAGTGCCCTGTCAGCTCGACCAATAGTTGCGGGGTTTGGAAAAAGTAACTAGAATATATTTTGAAATTTTATTAAAAAATATATAATATTTTTAACATATTCTCACTTTCAATAAAATAATTATATATTTTTAAATTAATTATATATTCTTATATTTATTATTATCAAATAATTTTAATAAATATAAATTTATTATTTAATTGAGACACTAAAAAAACAATAATTATTTTATATTTTAATTTTAAATGTTAAAAATATTTTACATTTTTTAATATGAAAAGTGACTTTAAATTATATACACTTTATTTAAATTTTATTATATATATTTATATTTTTTTAAATATTTTAGGTTTTTATATTTTTATTTTTTAATATTCTATTTAAACTGTATTTTTAACTGATTGATACTCGTATCTAGAACTAGGAATGTAAACCAGCTCGATGATATGAGTTGACTCGTACAGATTGGAAAAATTATGCCTGGGTTTAATGTATTTTCAAGCAAGCTAAGAAAAACGATCTCAAACCAGTTTAACTATCGTGGGTTGGTTAGCAAAATGTCTAATAAATATTACTACTTTTTTCTTAAATTATAAAATATTTTAAAAAAATTTAACATCTCAAAATATAAAATATTTTAATAAAATTAATGTTTTATTGATTATATTTTTTAAATATTAATGTTCTTTAACGAATGAAGTATTAAAATTTAATAAATGAAAGGCATCTCTAAAATTTTGTATTTTTACTTTAAAAAGATAAAATTATAAAATATATTTAATATATTTTATCAGTGCATGTAACTTTATTTAAAAAGCATTTTATAATTTAAAACAAATGGTTGATGATTTATGAGACTTCAATCATTGAAAAATATAAACTTCTTGTCACATATTTTAACTTGACACTTACTTAAGCTAGTATTAGCAGCACTGCATTATTACTCAAACAAGTGGCGGGGCGGTGAGTTTACAGGCTCACACATATTTTTTTTTAAAAAATGATATATTTTTGACTTTAAAATACTTTTTGAGGAACACTCAACACACTAATATATTGGTCGAAGTAATTTTGTGCTTAAAGTAATTAAAGCAGAACATTTTTGTGCTTAAAGTTAAATTAATAACGTTAAACATTAGAAAATAATAACTATGACTCTAATGTTGATTGCTATAGAATTTAACTATAATGATAAAAATACTCAGTTTAAATTATTTTAAAGATAAAATTACTCTAACCAATAGTTTAAAATGTTGAATGCTCATAGGACAATATTTTATAAGCAAAAATTTATTCATGAAGCATTGATATTTCAAATTGTTTTACGTATCCATATTGATATCATGTTTGATACCGATACTCATTAATACTTTTTCAATACATATCTGCATAGTATTAAAATATTATTTTTTAAAATTTTAATTTTTTTAATTTGAAATATTTTTAGATTGTGAGTTGGTACTTTAAAGCTTATACTCTAAGATCATTTTTAATAAATTAAAATTTGTTAGATATTGTTATATCAATCTTTTTTATTTCCAATATATTTTTGTGATTTACTTTTAAAATCAAAGATTAGATTTTCCTTTAAAATAAGTTTTAGATATAATGAAAAGATAAAAATTACACTTTTTAAATCGTAAAAACAATGCAATATAATCTTCTGACATTTAAGTCTAAGTGGTTCTAAGTGGGGAATTATTAACATAGATTAGACGGCAAGCAATTGAATATAGATGAAATAAAAGTATAAATAATAATTATATTTTGTTTGATAATATTTTTCAGGACTATGTATATTTGCTGTTTTGAATTTTTTTTAAAATTAAATTATATTTCAATGTTTTTTAATCATTTTCATAAACATATACGTGTGTATGTATCGAAAACATATTACATCTTATATTTTTAAAAATAAAAGTATTAAAGTATTGGATACATATTATATCTGATATACATATTAATATTTATATATCACAGACCTTTACCTTCAAAAAAAATTAACATGGTTAAAAAAAGTAAGGCTTTTTTAAAAATTAAGGGAAACAGACGATGGCTGTGGCCCATGGAGCATCAAATATTCATTAAATAAGAGCACTTGACATATAAATAAATTATATTTCACGTTATTCGATTAATTGCTAGAACTAAATGGTGGGAAGTGGGGGGAGGGGAGAGAAGGAGCCCTTATCCAAAGAAACACGCGGGGCCCACGACCTGGGCTAACCTGTCTTTGTCCTGTCTCGGGAGCACATTCCATCGTTGTGCTCACTCCCCACAGAACATGGGAATGATTAAAATCCTAAGAATATTTTATTTGACCAAATTATCCTTTGTCCTTGCTGTTTCTTTTCTGAGACGGTCACGGACACCACGACTTGATTCAATGAATATGGATATTTTTGTCATTTGAACAAGTGCCCATGGTTTCAAGGCCTGGTGACAGTGGATGTTCGGTGGTTTGATGGTTTAGAACAACGGTGGGTGTGACATGGGAATATACACATTTTAAAACCCCGAAGTTCTACTAGTCCCTTCAAATCTCCTTCAATATTCATTTAGTCACTTTGTCTTATTTAAAAGTAATTTTCAATATATTTTATTAAAATTCAAAAAATCAAAAATTTATTAATTCTATCTAAAAATTTAAAAAATTAAATATACATTTTAATAATATATTTTGTCTTGTAAATATTTAATGAAGGTTAAAGGAAAAAAAATTATAATAAAAATTTAATTATGCGATCTATAAATATGAGCAAA